AATTTTTTGCTCCCCGGTAAGAATCAGCTGCTTCACAGCACAAAGAGCACGTAAAACCATAAATGCATAGTCAAGATCCTCCTCTCATGGACATACCAAGTATCCAATAGGCGACCACAGAGTGTTGAATAGAAGGGTAAAACAAATTCTCCAATGGTCCAAAGAATTTTAGCCTATATCCCAATGTCCACCCAAGCACCTCTCTTCTAGAAATTAGTAGGGCTTGCCGTAACATCACTATTTAACCTTAGAACAATGCTAAGAAAGCCCAGAAACAAAACGGAAACAAGGAGTCAAAAACAACACTTTAGTTAGGATCAAAGATTCATCAGTTCTGGACAAAAAAAAAAATCAAAAGTTCCACACAAAAGTTTGGAAGTTTAGTTCAAGTTCGGTAGTTCCAAAAAAAGTCTGGAAGGCTGGTTCAAGTTCGAAAGTTTGGTTCGGAAGTCTCCAAGAAAACAACCTTTGAAACGAGAAAAGAAAATCCAGAACTCGATCAAACGTACTCTGAAAATCGTAAAAATTTGCACACATGTTCCCTAACTTAAGATGAAGTTATTCCCAAGAGGTCTTGCTTAAAGGATTGATCTTTCTTTGTCAATCTCATGGAATTAAAGAGGAAACATAATAAAAGGAGGAATTTACGGAAAATTCAAATTGGTGGCGCTCAGATAAGGAATTGGTGGGGGGTTACTCCGCAGGATTGCTCAGGCATGTTGATAGAGCCTTTTGCTATCTAAGATTTATGATCAGCTAGGATTGGCTTGTGATCACACATGGTGATGTAAGCCAAAGATCAAACTCACGCACCACTTGCTCCTGACTCCCAAATCTGAACTTTTTCTTTTTCAGTGATTTTCGGAGCCATTTTAGGTGACTTTCGACCTTTTGTTATAGATAGGTTGTAACCTTTATTTTGAAATGTTTTGGAACCTTGGAACTTGTTCAAAAGATGTCTTGAAGCCCAGGACCTATCTCTACTGTTCCAAACACCAAAACATCTCTTTTCAAGCCTCTTTTAGTGTTTTTCTTGAAAATCTTTTTGTGGAGGGTTTTGGGACATCCATGAATGATTTCTAGGTGCTATGAGGGCTTAGGAATATATATAGCCACTGCCTTTGGCAGATTTCCCTGAGTTCCTAGAAATACCCACTTTGAGGAAAATTGACAAAACACCAATTTGAGAGAGGGATTTTAATTTTCCATTTAATATTTAATCTTTTTCACTTGATATCTTGGGGATATCATATAATTTAGTTAGTCAAGGTGTGTGCAATGTTATAGAATTTTGGACTTGGTTTAATTGATTTCAAATTTCTTGGAGAGGATTCTATTAAAACAGTAGAAACCAGCCCAAGCCGGTTTTTGAACTTGCTGCCATTGAGCTGATTTTTTAGTGGAGTTGTTCTCCTGATGTTATAAACGCGTCCACAAATTTTCTTGGTTTTTTGAGATAGCTTGATTAGGTTTTGAAAATTTGTTTTCCTAAATTATGAAAACCAGCCTAGGTCGGTTTCAACACTTCTCAGGCCAGCTGTTGCTGACTTCCAATGTCACTTGTTTTGACTTCCCTTTGCTTCCGCATCCTTCGAACGTAGTTTCTAAGGTAAACAATCTTGTAAGGAGAGGCTGGCCGCATCACACTTCTTGTGATCTCTGTCATGGACGACTGACTAAAATGACGATGTCCACCAGAGTTCGTGTAATAATCGTTGCATTGATCACCGACGACTGACTAGAGTGCCTAATTGACGGCGAATTGGTGACAGACTGGTCACCGACGACTGCCAACTTACGTCGTGTCTGGCCAGTAGCAATACCCTCCACGCTACGGCATGCAGCACTGTTGCCTTAACTGCCCGATAGCAGCAGTGTTGTTGGATACGGATGAGCATGTGGTAGCACAGCACGTTTGATCTGGCTTGAGCGATATGCGCATGACTTGGGTCAAGTGGGCTGTACTATGGAGTAAGAAGGCAACTCTTCCTGGAGCGATATATCTATATTTATTTTTGTCTAATATTAAAGAACTAAAATTTTATCATATTTTTTCGTGCACCTCCTCCTCTAACCATTCGGGCAGTGGAGAGTTTCTTATGTCCTGCTTTTTTACTTGACCCATACTTATGATCCATACTCGTACGAGTTAGAACAGCTCGCGTCTAGTGATAATAGATATATGGTCCCATTCCAAATAAGTATTAGATCATGCCTCTGTACCTCGTATATGATCTGGACTCATGACCCGTGTTCATACATGTTAGAACAACTTACGTGTAACGATAATATAGAATCCAATTCCTATATGTATTGAGTATCATTACAACACACATACACATTAGCTATATTTTTTTATATTAAAAGTGAAATTTGGTTCATCCAATCATCCATCAAAATCAGCGCCACATTTTCTTCGTCCGTTCTTGGCCTTGTCACATCCTACGATTACTCAACCCGTCTTTATCAAGGCCACGTTTAGTTGGGCCGAATTGGCGCCGCCAAACGGTAGCTACAGTGTCGTTTTATTTTTATTTGGTAATAATTGTTCAATCGTTGACTAATTAAGCTCAAAATGTTCGTCTCGCAAAGTACAACCAAACTGTACAATTAGTTTTTGATTTCGTCAATATTTAGTACTCCATGCATATACCGCAAGTTTGATGTGACGAGGAATCTTCTTTTTATATAGTGTCAAAGTTAGAAATTTGGTGGAACTAAACAGGGCCTAAAAGTGAAATTTGGTTCGTCCAATCATCCATCAAAATCAGCGCCACATTTTCTTCGTCCGTTCTTGGCCTTGTCACATCCTACGATTACTCAACCCGTCTTCTGCTTAAACTAATGAAACCGTATAAAACTCAAATTTAGTGTAAAGATCCAAACCAATCTGACCATGAATCCAAGTCAGATTAAGATACAAATCCGTCCCATGACGAAGAACACAAACACAATAAAATAAAATCACGTGGATTCTAAATGGAATCTGTATTTATCTATCTATCTATCTATCTATAATAATATTAAAGAGTCAAAATTTTGCTGGCTTCACTTTTTTTCGTCTGGCTACTTTCTTTAATCCCATATTCACTTCTTTACTCTCGATTCAGTCCGTATCAATATACCACACGTTCGCTGTTAGACTTGTCAGTTTACTTTGGATACGACGCAACGGACTCCAAGACATGTTCCGGCTCCTATGTCTAGGTGTTGCATGCTACTTTGTTGTCTATTTTACATGAGCTTTAGCTGCAGGAGATGTCCGATTTCTGGACATATAACTAGGTCTCCCAAATGTTTGCTCCAAATAAATCTTATTCACATCTGATTGGTTTTCGCCAAGTTCACTAGGCTTATTCATGGTTTCGGCAATCTTCATGTCAACGCGAACGAGAGGTTTTCTTGTGGCTTCTTTTAAAATATATACCGAGTAAGTACTAGGGAGCTCTTGAAACGGAAAAAATATGCCCCTCGATGACTACAACTACGTTCTTTGCAACTCAGCTAATGAACATCGGTGATATAGATCCAGGGTACCTCAACGCAGCAGGATGGGCCAAAGACGTCGGATATGAGGCCCAACAGAGATAGGGTATGTCATCAGACTAGGTGGACAAGCAACCAGGCTTATGGAGGTTGAAGACTGAAACCTACTACAGGAACAGCCGATTCCATACGTATATTTCCTTATAACAAACTAGTAAACCTCTTTGTAAACCAACCAGGACTCTTTTTTTACTCTATCTCCTCGACTATATAAGGTGGGAGCCCCCGATCGGGACCTGAATACAAGTTGATAGCAACCCTAGGCAACTAGACATCAGCACCCTGTAAACACAGAGCATATGAGATAAGAGATCTATTCTCATCTGAATGTAGGGTATTCATACCTGAACCGGTATAAATCTGTATCTCGTATGTTATCCATCTGATTTCATGTGCATGATTTTCTATCTATATTGCCGGAGCCAATACCTCCGACAAGCCTAGTGCATCTCTTTTTTATCTGTCCTTTTTTGTGGCTTGTTGGAACACCCTACTGTTCACAATACATCATCACAGTGACCCATTTTGCCACCCTCTCTTCTTTCAGGGATAATCTACATTTATTCTTCCTTGTGGAAATCTTGATCACCATGTGCCGGTTGGTCCATCCGGAATGATGAAATCTTCAGAAGTATATCCAGCCCTCAGTGCTTCGGAGCAAGGACATTTTCAGGAAGGAGATTGCTCAATTTATAATGAGAGCAAAGCAAAAAAAAAAAAAAAAAGTCCTGAATTAGTCAATGGCTAGAAGCTTATGTGTAATCTTGTTTAGTTTCTTTCTTTCTTTTTTTTTGTTTCTTGAGCTGTTGTTTGTTTGTACTCTTTGTTTTAATAAAATTCTAGTAGAGGGCAACCCCTCCTATTAGCCCTGTTCGTTTATCTTATAATCCGTATTTTTCAGTTTGTTTTTTCAGTCGGAAAAATATTTTTCTCTCACAACAAATTAGCCGGAACAATGTTTCGGCTTGTTTTTTCAGCGAAGCGAACGGGGCCATTCCCTTCAATAAAACTTCAAGCGCCAAGTCATTCAAGTTACTATGCAACAAGCTATGTCCTGTTGCAGCGCAAAAATATGTTTGCTAATCTAACAAAAAAAAACTCTGGGTCAACTTCTAGGCAAGTGCGTTAACTAAAAAAAATCAAGCCATGTATAGAAAAAAAGAAGGCAACCGCTGAATGGGATTGAGCGTTACATACGAGAGGATAAGATTCCATGGGCCAGGCAGTGGGGTCGTGGTGGTTGGTATCATGAGTCCACTGCCATATTTTTTTATTTTTTTTTGCCAATTGAATACTCTATTCAGTACTCGGTAACCAACTACTACCGTTCTAGTGTTCTACCAACTACTGCCGTTGTGTCTATATATACCAAGGCACGGTAAGGGCCGAAAAACTCACAGGCCACAGCAAAAGTAGAAAGGAGCCAAGGCTAAAACCCAAAACGAGCTGCCACCATGGCCGATCACGGGCCACACAAAGCAGTGTTCCTTCGGCTCCTAGAAATCCTCTCGATAGTCGTCCTATTCTCGCTTCACGCTTCGTCAGCAACCACACGCACGGTGGCTACGCCTCCGGTCTCATGCCGTCCTGACCAGGCATCGGCGCTGCTCCAGCTGAAAAGATCCTTCACCACCACCGGTTACTCCACCATTGCGTTCCGGACATGGAGGACCGGCACGGACTGCTGCCGCTGGGCGGGCATTAGGTGTGCCCAAGCCAACGGCCTCGTCACTTCCCTGGACTTGGGAGAGCGCGGTTTGGAGAGCGGAGGTTTGGACTCCGCACTCTTTGCTTTGACCTCTCTTGAGTACCTTAACCTTGCCTACAATGACTTCAATGGGTCGCTGCTACCATCCAGTGGGTTTGAGCGCCTCACGAAGCTCACCTACCTTAACTTATCTAGTTCTAGCTTCTCGGGTCAGTTGCCAACAACGGGCATAGGGAGCCTGACAAATCTTATATCCCTTGACCTGTCTACTAGCTATGAAATCCTTGACGTATTCTATCATGGTTTCTATCCCACCTTCCATACAAGTTCAGATTCTATACGGCTTGTGGAGCACAACTTTGAAGGCCTAATCCATAACCTTAGTAATTTAAGGGAGCTACACCTTGGCTTTGTGGACCTGTCAAGCAGCGGGGCGCGATGGTGCAAGGCCCTAGCCATAAACTGTCCTCAACTTTTGGTGCTTAGCTTACCATATTGTCGACTCTCAGGTCCCGTATGTGGCTTACTTTCTAGTACCTTGCACTCAATTTCTGTTATCAATCTAGAATTTAATCATTTATCTGGCCCATCCCAAGATTTCTTTACCAACTTATCCACCAACTTATCCAATCTGACTACTCTCCAACTTGGACGAAACTCTCTTCAAGGATGGATACCTCCTGCAACCTTTCAACATAAGAAACTACTGAGTATCGATCTTTATGGCAACCGTCAAATTTCTGGCTACTTACCAAACTTCTTAAACGGTTCTAGTTTGGAGAACCTGAATGTTGGAGGAACGGATTTCTCTGGTACAATACAAGGTTCGATTGGCAACCTCGTACATTTGAAGAAGTTGGGGCTTGGTGCAAAGCGCTTTTCGGGAGAGCTACCCTCATCAATTGGAAAAATCAAATCCTTGATTGCATTAGAGATTGCTGGACTGGGAATAGTAGGTTCCATGCCACCGTGGGTTGCAAACCTGACATCTTTGATGTCGCTTCGGATCTACCACTGTGGCTTATCGGGGCCTATACCTTCTTTCATTGGTGACTTGAGGAATTTGAAAGATTTCGTGTTGTATGACTGTGGATTTTCAGGTGAAATACCATCTCATCATATCGCAAACCTGACTCAAATGGAAGTGCTCATGCTTTATTTAAACAACTTCACAGGCATCCTGGATCTCAACTTTATTACGAATCTGCCCAATCTTAAGGCGTTGGAACTCTCTGACAATAACCTTGTTGTGATCGATGGAGAAGACAATTCTACATTAGCATCCTTTCCCAAAATCCTAGTCATAGGTCTTCGGAGTTGCAGCCTTTCTAAATTCCCCAGTTTCTTGAGGCACCAAGATGAGCTCGACTCGGTTGACCTTTCGGATAACAATATCCGCGGTGCTATACCATCCTGGGTATGGGACACATGGAACTACCCTCTTTTCGCTTTGGACCTCTCAAACAACGAACTAACTAGTGTTGGCTATACCTCTTATCTTCTTCCTCTACAGGTAGAAATATTCCTACTTAACAACAACTTGTTTGAGGGGTACATACCTATACCTCGAGACTATGCACACATTCTGGACTACTCAACCAACATGTTCTCATCTGTACCTCCCAATTTCAGCTCCCATCTTACTGATGTAACCCTCTTTTGGGCCACGAGCAATAACTTGTCTGGAAAAATTCCATCATCCTTTTGTGGAGGCACCAGTATACAAATCCTCGATCTATCTTACAACAACTTTAGTGGATCAATCCCTTCTTGTTTGATGGAAAATGTCAACGGGATGGAGTCATTGTCTTTAACTGAAAATAAACTAGCTGGGATGCTGCCAGATACCATCAAGGAAGGCTGCTCATTTGTGTCAATAGATTTCAGTGGTAACTGCATTGATGGGAAGCTGCCCAGATCTCTTATTGCTTGTGCAAACTTGGAGATCCTTGATGTTGGTAATAATCAGATTACCGACACATTTCCATGTTGGATGAGTAGACTTCGTGGACTCGGAGTCCTTGTCCTGAAATCCAACAAACTCTTCGGACAGCTTGCGCAATCTATTGAAGACGACAAGACTTATTGTGCATTCCCAAGTGCAACAATAATTGATATATCATCAAACAACTTCACTGGTACATTACCCCAGGGAAAATGGTTTCAGGAGTTGAAGTCGATGATATTTATAGAACCAAATAAATCACTGGTCATGGAGCACGAAGTTCCAAATACAGGATCATATAGATATCAGTATAGTGCTGCATTCACATATAAAGGACAGGACACGAGATTTCATGAGATACTAAGAACACTTGTATTTATTGATTTCTCCAATAATGCATTCCATGGTAGCATCCCTGCAGCTATCGGGAAACTTGGTTTGCTACATGGCCTCAACATTTCACATAACTCTCTCACCGGTCCGATTCCATCTCAGCTCGGGCATTTGAGGCAGTTGGAAGCTTTGGATCTGTCTTTCAATGAGCTATCTGGTGAAATCCCACAAGAGCTAGCATGGATGGACTTCCTCACGACATTGAATCTGTCTGACAACAAGTTGGTGGGAAGTATACCACAATCGCCTCATTTCTTCACATTCACTAACAGCTCATTTCTAGGAAATGACGGCTTATGTGGGGCTCCGTTATCAAAAAAGTGCATCAGCAAAATAACAGCAAGCTCACATGTTTTCAAGAAGAAATCTGTAGACATTGTGTTATGCCTCTTTGCTGGACTAGGATTTGGTATTGGGATTGCAATTGCAATTGTTGTGGCATGGGGGATCCCCATTAGAAAACGCCGAACTTAAAGAAAGGCAGGAAACACTACTTGTTATGGATCAAATGGCTAATTAATTTCTGTATCTGGATCACTTTTGATACATGTGGACTCAATGATACAATATTTTTCTAATGTTGGAAGTTTGTGGTGTTAACTGATTGACTTTCATTTGTGCTTCCTCAAACAGCAACCTAGTAGTGCCTAAGGCACACCAAGTTTAACTCTCGCGTAATAGCTACATGCAACACTGCCATGGCCGTCGTACAGCCCCAGCATCTCAACTGAGAGACCATATTGAGATGTATATAGGTCTTCTTGATGTGATGACTCACTAGTGCAGATAGGGGCTACAATCTTGGTTGGAAAACCCCTTCAGTCCTGAGTGAGGGAAAAAGAGTGCAGGTGTGGAGATTCAAACTCAAGACCTCCTACTCTGGCCCTTGCGTGAGTTGCCATCTCAACCTCAGCACACATCTGACTTAGATAAGATATGGTTTACTTTTAAATTCACTCTGGAGGCACATTTAGTCTGGATTTGAGACACAAACCGGGACTAAAGGTATTTTTAATCCATATTCGTGTCTGAAACCGGGAATAAAAGTCACACTTTTAGTCCGGGTTCGTTGTTTGATGAGATTTTGTGCAAAATTTTCTAGTATGCATGTACATCTATATGTGCTTTTGAAAATAACATGAATCAGGTCGCATATGCGCTAATGCATAGTGCGCATGTCTGTTTACGTGTGCTGAAAAAGAGAAAGCTAACAGGCTAGTCACGTGATCGAGGTTGCATGTATGTTCATTCATCGTGAAAGCACGTACGTATCTTTGCTCAAAATGCCTCTCAAGCAATTTGGGCCAGTATTGGACAGCCACCGTACAGGCATGGCGTCCGAGGCCGGAGGCCATATCCATTTCACTACTGGATTCAGGCGTTTTGCCGGGTGCCGAATGCACCCGGCAAAGGCTACTTTACACTCGGCAAAGTCTTTGCCGGGTGCAGCACTCGGCAAAGAGCCTCCGGCAAAAAGTTAGTCGGCAAAGATTTCTTTGCCGGGTGCTTTTTATCGGGCACCCGGCAAAGACTTTGCCGAGTGCAAACCCGGCACCCGGCAAAGAAAAGTGGTCGTTACGGCGCCGGCTCCGTCATCCCTTGCTTTGCCGGGTGCCATATCAGAGGCACCCGGCAAAGATTTTTTTAATTTTTTTTTCAAATTTTCTTTGCCGGGTGCCGTGCCGGGGAGGCATCCGGCAAAGATGTTTTTATTTTTTTATAATTTCTTTGCCGGGTGTCTTATCGAGGGGGCACCCGGCAAAGAGTTTTTTTATTTTTTTTTTGTAATTTCTTTGCCGGGTGCCAGGTCATGGGGCACCCGGCAAAGATTTTTTTTTTTGAAAAAACTTTGTTGGTGCCTGGACTGGCACTTTCGGCAAAGCTGGGAATTCCTTTCAGAATTCCCTGCTTTGCCGAAAGTGCCGTGGCTGTGGCACCCGCAAAGCCTCAAAAATTAATTTTTTTTATTTTGTTTTTTGATTCTATAATCACAAACACAGCATATAAAAGATATGTATCACATCTGAAGCATCACAAAGACAATATAGCACATATATATCACATCCATCTCATCACAAACTCAATCTCACACATATATATCACATCGCGAATACAATACCTCACATACACGACATCACAAACATAATAGGTCGAATTACCATCGTAACAAGTCGATAGTGGATCACAGTGCATCACATGTCCATCAAGCGGTGAAAAAGAGATACAAACTAAAGGTGGGAGGGCCGAGTGCACTGGTGAAGGAAACTCGGCACCACCTGCTTGCGCCTGAGATGGGTCATTCGAACCCGCCGACGGAGGCTGCATAAAGGACAAGAGATCCAGGCGCTTAGAGTGGGTCATCTAATGAAAGCACTAGTCGAAGCAATATGGATTCATACTCCTTGGACTAGCTACAATCTGGCGGCGGCGCTGGAGTTTAACATCGGCATTGTGTACACCGTTCACTTGCCCAAAGTTCTCTGAGAACATCGTAATCTCCGCCACCTTGCTTATTCTGTCTCTCCCTTCGCCCGCTCGGCTTGTCTTTTCCCTTCGGCCACCTCGGTCCTCGCCAAGAAGGTCCCACAGCTCTGAGCCATCCTCTCATTATCGACTGCAACATTTCAATCGAATATTTTAGTAATGTAAAGGTAACTAAGTTATGTAAAGATCAATGTATGAAGAGTTAAACCGACTAACTGGAGTGCGTCGACCCCGCTTTGTGAAGGGGACGGCCCGTTGGCATATGGCCGGCCTCCGCTCGGGTACTTGCTCGGATCACGGGAGAGGGAGGGAACAGAGCGGACTCGAGGGTGCCATCGCCAAGCCGCATCGCCCATGCTTCTTGCCCTGTCCGATCCTCATGACGGTCGTGCCATCAATGTCTTGGTGCTCGGATCCCGGCCCGCCCTGGACCGACCTTGCATCCGACGCAGCGTAGGAGCTGATGCGCGGTGTGGACGCCAGGGTTGTCAGATGACTCGGGTGGGTCATCCGGGCTGAAGGTGACAGCGGAAGTCGCCTTTCCCTTGCGGGCCAGTCCATACGCCATGAACGTGGACAAAGGCTGGCCACCATGCGACGCCGACTGCGAGAAAGACAACAAGATGATTAGAAGAAACATGCAGAATGGAGCGTCAGAATACTAAAAATGAATTCACGTACCCAAGCTTGCTTGTATGCGCCAAGGCTGCGGCTGCCTTGGTGGTGTGTGGGGCCTGTCGCCTGCAAAGCCCGCTCCCGGTGGGCTTCGTGTTCCTAGATATAACCCTCTGTGAACCACCTATCCACGATCATCTCCCAGCAGTCGGCAAAGGACTCGCACCACCATGGAATCATCTACATGTCATAAAGAATTTGAGATGTAAGATGACCAAATGAAAGCTACTTAATCTCAAAATGAATCAGTATTATTCTTCTTCATTTACCTCAATGTCTTTGTTCTGGGTCGAGAGACATCTGTCTTGCCTGTGTCTTGCTGACTTTCTGACCAAGTCGCGTGGCGTAGTACTTGATGATGCAAGTGAGGCGCTCCTCGTAGTGCATGTCGCTGATGCGTTTCCTGGCACTTTTCACCAAGTTCTTCTCCGCCCTCTCCTCTGTCCCTCTTCACACACTGAAAAAAGTCTGCAGACAGACACAATGTATCAATTCATTATGTCAAAAGTGTCAAATGAATGCAATGTATTGATCAAAGTTGTCTTGAACGAGACTTACCTGAACTCTCTCCCGACCCGCTCCTGCTTGTCTTCATATTCTGCGTCGGGGGCAGATTTGTAGTGGTCCCACGATTTGGCCGGCCCCATAGTCCCCTTGTGCGTGACAATGCTGGGGTAATAGTGCCTACACACAAGCCCCAAGATGTGGTTGGGGTTGCGTGAGTCACCAGGCGACACAACCTCCGGCTCTGCACAAGTCATTAACAAACATTATTAGTTTTCTCGACAATTTTCAACAGGTTATATGAAGTAGGCGTGATTAAATCTAAAGTTAGTTACTGTCCCCACGGGGCGGATCACTGGGCGTAGGGGAGGAAGCGGAGGCCCAGGGAGTTTTGAGGGACCTCGCAAGTAGGGGCTAGCCGCAGCAGAGGCAGTGGAACTACTTCAGGCCTCGCCACCCTCTTGTGCCTCTCCCTCGCTGTCCGTCGCCCGAACCTCGTCCGCCGCCGAAACCTGCTCGTCCTCCGAGGAGTCCGTGTACTGGCGCTCCTCCCAAGACGCCACGCTGGCTCGACTAGAGGAGGCCGGCCTCCCGCCGCTGCCGCTCCCGCTGCTCCTGGCCCTCTGCCTCCTCCCGTCCGATGCGTTCTCTCCGGCATCTACGTCCTGACGTGCCCTCTGGTACCTCGAGTTCACGTTCCTTGGCCACTGCCGCCCGCCACCTTTGTTCAATCACCTGCAATTAAAAAGAAACAAACAAGACATCATTACATGTATTAGAAATAGATGCTAAGTAAATAAACAAAACACGATTACAAAATAACATAGTATTACATGTATTAGAAGTAATCATCATTATTGGGATTATCTAGATCATATGTCTCGTCATCACTATCAAAATTGTCCAAATAAAAAGGCTGTCAGGAGGTTCAATGTTGCCTTCATCGTCATCATCTAAATGTAATCGCTCAAGCATTTCTATGTCCTTGGCATTTTGCACCTCATCTCCTTCTTCCTCGTCATCAACCCTTTCATCGTCTACTTCCATTCCAATCGCCTCGGTTAAGTCTATCACCAACCTCCCTTGTAGCCCATCTTCTTGATAGAACTCTCCATCATATGTGTTTGGGTTGAAGTTGTAATCTTCATCGTTTGGGACAGCTAGTCTACCATGTGGCGATACCTGGTGCACAATAGACCAACCCTGAAGAGCCTTGTTGCCTTGGCATGCGTATGACAAATAATAAACCTGCACGGCCTGATCCGCCACAATAAAGACATCTTTTCCTTGATAGATGGAATCGTGTCGAATCTCGACTTGACCAATATTAGGGCTCCGTTTCGTTAGTCGAGGATTGAACCAGTGGCATTTGAACATGACGAGACGAAGAGGTTTCGGAACCATAAAATTCAAGTTCATAGATATCTTCAATTATGCCATGATACTCGAGGCCATGGTCTGGGGAGTACAAACTCCATTGTTTGTGGTTTTTCGATGGGGCCGAGCTCGCTCAGTAGCTTCTTGTGTGAAAGCGATATCCATTCACATCATAAACTTGAATAAGCTTTCACCCATCGTCGAAGCCATTTGCAACCTATCTCAACTCCTTACTCATAGTTGCATCGGTTTGGGCCTGCAAGCGCAAGAAGGAAAGATTGCCGAACTAAGTACGTGAAACTCGGAATCTCGAACTAGGTACGAGGTAAATTGGACAATACCTTTGTTTTGAACCAAGAAATAAAATCGGGCCTCCCTGCTCCCGGACCCCATGAAAGAAGGGTGTCGGTTTGCCGTGGGGTAGGATCCCTTGG